TGTCATTTGCTCATATTCATATATTATATGTGGTTTTATGAAGCAATGATGATTAACCTTCTAAATTGAAAGTGAGAATTGGGTATCGTATAAGTGTAAGTGCTTATGTGCTATTACAATTTACAACCAGGTGACATTTGTATTTTCTTAGAAATTAGAATGAGCAAATACTGTCTTATATTTTTATTCAAAGAACATATATTAAGTTAATACAAATTATCACCTTGGATGGTAATTTATTAATATTGATTAAACTTACATCTTATACCTTAATAATCTTGTTATGTGATTAATGATTGGGAGGATTTAATCTGAGCAATATATTATTATAATATATTAAATTTTGCAACATATATAATGGTTTTGTTGCATTATAATATATTAAATTTTGCAACCTATATAATTGATTTTGTTGTAGTTAAATATATATCATCATTGAAGTTTGAAGACAATAGAGAGTAGACAACCAAACAGGTCATTCAAGTTGTTATTTGGAGGAGTATTTCATCAAATCATCATAGTATAAATTATTGTTTTTAAATTTAGATTTATTGTAAACTCTTTTATAGTTTATAAATTAAGTTGAGTTTATAATTGAAATGATCAATTGAGTTGTAACTTGTAAGTGATTTGATAGATTTGTAAATGAGTTGAGTTTGTAATTTAGTTATTTAAATGAGTAATTGAGTTGTAACTTGTAAGTGAATTATAAATGAGCCCATATGTGGTAAATTTAAATTTACTGTAAATAACTAAATAATTATTTTAAATTTGCTGAAGCAATTATGCAGATTTTATTTTTTATTTTTTCTGCAATTCTATTAAGATTTACTATACATCCGATTTTATCGGGTTTGGTCGGGTTGACCCGAACCTGAAACAGGTCGGGTTCGGGTCACAAAAACTGACCCATTTGTAAAAACGAGGCTAGTTGACCCGAACATGAATATTGCCGGGTTAGTTCTGGGTTTGACCCGAACCTGACCCATGACCTGAAATTGACACCCCTACTAAATGCTCTTCAACCTCCTCAACAACACTGTCTAATAATTCAAAGATGAACTCAGCATCCTTCACCTGATCAAATGCTTCAATTGACTTCAAAATATAGTGCCATGAGGATTATTAATCATAATGTTTATTAAACTTCTATTCTTCATATCTAAACAATCATATGACATAATAGTTACATTGTTTGGGCCCAAGTCCTCTTAATTTCCTTATTTTTTTTTAGTATTACCCAACTCCTTTAAAATTCGCATTTTCATATCATACATGGTTGAAAGTTTGAACCCTCTCCCATATGCTCCAACTGACATTAGGTCAAGTGGAAGATAAGATTTGAGAGAGTCACCTTTGATGGTTTGGTTAAATAAAACGGCAGCCTTCTAATGGCCCAGTTAGTAAAGTAGATGTATTAAATTTGACTTATGTTAAGAAAGGTAGATGTAGACCCAAAAAAGGTTTGGTTAGAAAATATTAGAATTGACATTTATTTATTAGATTTAAATGAGAATTTGACTCTTAATATGACATAATGGATGAGAAAGATTCATGTAGCCGACCCCATATGGTGGGATAAGGGATTGATGTTGTTGTTGTTGTTGTAGTAGTAGTATGCAATTGTAAGGGTTAGAATGCGTAACAGGGTCTTAGGTAATCAAGGTTTGGGCTGAGGAAGTGGAAAGTTAAAGTTAGAAAATTTCTTTATGGGCGTTGCAGTGCCAGTATTGGTAGTGCTGCAACATTGAGCTCTCAGATTTTTAGACAAAAATAGGTTTTGAGAGTGTGCTATGGTTCCGCCACGATGTTGGGTCTCGGGTGGGAATATTTTGAGAGATTTTGGAAGATTCTTTTGGAGCGCAACAACATTGAGGAGGCTAGCGCCGAGGAGGCTAGCGCCGAGGAGGCGAGCGTCACGATGCTAGGTCAAGTTAGTGGTTTTTAAATATTAAAATATCAGACATCATTTGCTATGCTCATTTTATCTTAGCCATTGCTGGAGAAGAAGAGAGGAGATAGAGAAAAAAAAAAGAAAAAAGAAGAGAGATTTTGGAGGCCGAAATTTGGAAATAACTCGTCCGGCTAGTTAGAGAAATTGTTAGACTCGAGGTAGCCAGCCCATACTCTATCGCTGATTTCAATTCCATGCTTTAAATTCCTTAGTTATATATTAAGTTGCATCAGCATGCATTTTGTGGCATTTTGGAGTTATGGAAATGAAGGTGCACTTTCAATTCTCTACCTCAGTCTAATGCAATGTATCTCTATTATGGAATACTCTGTTATGTTCTGACTCGGAGATGATTTGTATTGGAATATATTTTGTTATGTTTTGGTTCTTCTCCTGTTCTATGCAGGTGGGAGCTGGTAAATAGGAGTTATAAGTGGGAAATAGCACATGCGGGAGCTGGTAAATAGGAGTTATAAGTGGGAAATAGCACATGCGCATTTCTGTATTCATATTCATATATGATCTAGTATGTCAATATGTAGGGTAAACAATAATTTTATTATGTTGTTATTTTCATCATGAACTATGAATTGAACTCTTATATGGGGGAAAAAAGGTTGGCTACCTGAGTTTTATACTCATCTTGTTGTTTAAAATATTTTAGGCAAAGGCAATGGTCCTATTAAGTAGACTAAGTACAGTAGAGAGCAAGAAATCTGATTTGTGAGGTATATATGATTTTGTAGTTCTGGATGTATTTAAATCTTTTGTGGCAATCGTTGCATTTTGAACTTTTTGTGGTTTATAACTTTATGTATTATGGAAGAAGTATCTTGTAGATGTTTGTTTGTATGTTTATTTTGTTTGGTGAATAGATGGATCTGGTAAGAATGAAAGGTTAAGTTAAAACTTTATAAGCGTATATGAAAGTAGGTTTAAGTTCCTCATTTAGATCTTGGGGCATAATAATTAGAGCTTTAAATTTAGTTATTCATTAAAAAAGTGGTGTGAATTAAACATTAATAGAAGTTTTCTTGCTCTACACTGAATAAGTGTGAGAACTTGTTGGTGTAGCACCAAAACAAAGGTCAAGGATATCAAACCAAGGCTCTATATCATGATTTAGGTTATTAATCATGTAGAATTCTCCATGCAAGCTCATGCATGACCCATAATTCTTTTAAAATCAAGGGAGAATACTTAAGAATCTTAGTTTAATGTTTCTTGATGGGTAGGTGAGTTATACCAGTTAAGGTGGAAAAACTCTTCATAAATTGTTTGATTTTAGGACTACCTTAATTGCCTTATTTGGAAAATTTGAATTTTCATATTTTTCAAAGTTTTATATTATATTATATTTTTCATTTTTTCCTTCTTTTTGCATTAAGGCAAATCATCAATTCATGTAGTAGTATTCGACTCTTAATGCTTTTTATGTTTAGGCTTGGATATGCCTATAAATATGACATTGTTTTGCACCTTTTAATTTATTGACTAATTTTTTTTGGTGCAATTTTTTGTGGAAAGGCTTGGTGATTGTTCTATTCTACAACGAAGTTTGATTGTTGATCTTATAGGGTTTTAATGAGTCCTTATTTATCTTTCTCATACTTATTCCTCCTCTTCCCTAACACAATTTTCATCTCCTCCACATAGGCTTGAGCGTAGCTTCTCTCAACCCCACAAGCACATCCAATTTCCTTAAAACTTATATAATTTTACACATCTCTCATAATCTTAAATGGCATCAACTCTCCAATAACTATAAGACACCCTAGCCAAAATTTCAATATAGAGAGACAATTTCTTACTATGAACAACTTGATTTAAAATTTTATAACTCCTTAACCACTATTGTAAAATACATTAGAAATACTACTATTAGTTTCTTAACTTTTCAAACCTCTGATTTGGAGGAGTTCTCCAATTTTCTTCTAGGAAAAATTTCCTTTGATAGTCTTAGAAGTTTTAGAAATAAATTTGTCTAAATTCAGAGTACTCTTTACCTCTAATACCTTACAAGAAAATCAATCAAGTTGCTATCTTCACTATAAAGATTCTTTAAACCTTACTTCACTTGTATGCATGTCTTAATGCATGCACAAAGTACTTCATGCCTTTCTTCATGTTGAATGGATAATGTAAATTTGGTGGTATAATTGATATGATTTGATTATTCTTACATGAATAACTTGATTCCACTCTTCTTGTAGCTGTAATTGAAGGCCATAGGAATTTAAAACCTTAAATACTAAACAATGGGCATGCTAATTCAAGTTGGTGTATTCTTTTCCTCTTGATGCATCTTGTTTGATTTATACATCATTGATTTGATGTGTATACTATGAAGTTCTTGGGCTTGCGTACTCTGAATTTAGTAGTTTGACCCGCCATTGAACCTCAAATTATGGTGTTATACTTATTGCTACAAATAGAATTCATAATCTATTTGAATGTAAAAAATGCTTTAGCCTAGTATTTCAAAATGAAAATGTTTTTGCATATCCTTTTTGACAAATTTATTTAGTTGGGTATCTGGGTTAAGTGTATGGAGTTCTAATCACTACACCTTATATATTTTTTTGATTATTTAGTCTATTGGTACAATCCTCCAAACTTGGGGCTGAATTAGATGATATTGTATTGCCTTTTACTTATCTCAAGGATTTTTTAGTCCATTTTGCTTGCTCTAATTTATGTGCGAGAATGATAATGAATGCTGATTTTAAGGCTAAAAGAAAATTTTTATTTTAGATTATATTTTCCCTACGGAATTTGTCTTGATGCTATTTTTGTTCAAAAGAACCCCTTAAAAGCTTCATAGCAGCTCGTTTTTATTTTATGTTGCAAAAGAAATAGTTGCATATAAAATAAAAGTACTACAGAAATGCCATTTTAATTATTTTGCTTGTGTACTATCATTCCTTTCTTCAATATCGACCTCATTGCCTATGATGCATATGTACCAAAACTGTCTTTTTTGTGATCCAAAAAAATCATTATCAAAGTTGAACTTAAAAAGTGATGATCCTTTTTTTTTTTGCAGATTGATACATCAGTGATTTGTTTCTTACTTCATTCCCAAAGGTTCATTGAATACATTCGGGTGAGTTAATCATTAGTCATTTATCACCTGCATATTTTCATTCGATTCAGCATTTAAAACTGTTGTGTAGTAATTCTGCTAAATTAACTTTGATAGGAATGGAGCCTTTCTATGCTTCAAAATTACAGTTTTTGAATGTTTAACATTTTGATAAAGCACCATTATGAATACTAGAATCATCCATTTAAAAAAGATGGGAAATATCCAATTTTACCAGGATAATGTTGTTTCTTTTTTCAATTAACAACCTAGTTCATATCCTACGCAATATTAGAAGGCCTTTCAACTACAGTGAAGCATCAACTTTGCATGGGAAACTCAGCGGTCATGGCTTGACTAGATTAATTTAGATGTTGTGGCCAAAGTGTTTCCAAGCAGAATAATTTGGCATTAAGAGTTCACATTTTTTGTATCTTTTTATATTGGTTATGAATATGCTTAGCCTCCTTTGTCTTACTCTTGATGTGCTATGGATAGTTATAACGCTAAGGGATTGACTTGAGCGTAACTAGAAGTATAGGAACTTGCTCAGTGCTAGTGGTTGCTTGCCGCACTGGAGTTATCAAATATATATGGCTTCACTCGTTCCACCACTTCTTTGGTGTTGAAGTTCATTAGTTTTTCGGTCTTCAAGTCCATCTTTTCTTCACTCTCAAGTCCATTTTGAGGGACTAAAGTTCAGGTTGACCCAACCAACATGACTTCCTCCAAAGCAAACTAGGCGGGCCATATGTTTTATCAAAGGTAAGCAAGCTAGTCATTAATAGATGCTTGATGCCAGACGATATCTCCCTCTAAAGAAGTAGAATAATCCTTGTGCTTCTATTAATAGGTCATTTTTTCAATTGATATTCCCATATTCTCTCTAGTCTACTGCGCTCTTTTATAGATGGCCAAAGGAAAGAGAAATTCAATGATTAAGCTTGGGAAGAATCTCTATACTTTTTTTTCTCAAAAGATCTTGAAACATGGTTCATAGTGGTGGGGCATTTCCATACATTTTAAGACAACAACTTTGTTGAGCATCTATAGGTAAAATAATTGGTTGGTAATTGTCTTTTTTGTAGGTGCCACATTGAAATGAAATCATTGAGGAATTTAAGAGGGAAATTGAGAGCTTTGAAAATGTGTTTTTAGCTTACTATTTTATGATACCTAAATGTGCTTAGAGGTCGGATTATATTTAGAATGGAAATAAAAAAAATTAGAATGGAAATAGTTGATGTCTCTTTTAGAATTTCAAAATATGGTGTTTTGGTTTAGAATAATTTGGAGATAATATAATATTGATATGCGAGAATTGTACTAAAGTAAGTGAAAAACTTAAATAATTAAGACAAATTTTAGAAGGTAAGATTTTTAGGATTAGTAGAACAATCATATTTAATTTTCATGGGTGTAAAATTTATTTTTTTGCAAATATTGCGAGAAGATCACTTGGTACCTTAATGATAAGTTTTAGTACCTTAATGGTGGGTAGGCTCAAATTGTCAGGAAGACCTCCTAGGCGGTTCATCTTCTAAACAGGCTCAGTTTAAGATTTCTTATACTCTATAGATGCAGGGATCAAAACTAGAGCTTGTACCTTGTGTGAAGTGTTAAATATGTGAAATTTGTGTTTTTTATACTAAAGATTATGACGCCATGAAAATTATACAAAGTGGGAGAAGGTTTTTGCATTCTTTCAAAAATGGTTTTACTTTTTTATTGTGATTACCTTTGCTCTTTAAATAGGCTGCACGTTGAAGCAAAATTATGAAATACTAATCCATCTGAACCATTTCTATTACGTGTCATGTCAATTTCATTTGAGAATCGTGTTATTGGCTCCTCGTGTATTCTGTGAAATAACTATCATGAATCTCTTGCTTGTAGGCAGGGCAGCTTATGGAGGCTGTAAAGTATGCTCGTGCAGAGTTGAGCAAGTTTTTTACAATCAAGCCCTTAGATGACCTGCTTGAGGTAATAATCAAAATTTGACTGCTCTTAAAATGATTTATAATGAATATGGTACGACCATGGTGTATTGTAAAGCTAATTTACAGCAGTTTAACAATAAGAAATTTGACATATAACATGAGGTCTTTTGGATAACATTGCCACTGTTATCAGTGGACTGTGTTCCTAGCGGTGGCCCTTTTTAGCCTCACATCCATGCATGGTGGCCAATTTGGGCCCCATGATCCACCTGGTGCCTATGTTATTGTTCACCAGCATGGTATGCTGGATGGAGCAGCATGGTATTATACTAAAACCTAGTTATTACAATTTCTTAGGGATCAGCTCAACCGCTATTTGTTTAAGGGTTAGCAGTTTTTCACTGTTTTTCTTTTTAAATTGTTATCACGTCTTATCCTTGGATGATACTCACCTCTACTAGCAGGTTGTTAGTTGGTTAATGCTAGAAAATTATGTGATAAGATTCGTAAGTATGGAGAGTTTGTAGAAAGCTATATAATCTTAGAGAATAATCTAACAGCATGAAGATCCAAAATATGCTTTTTCATCCCTTGTTTAAAGGGGTTAAGAGGGTTACTGAAAAGGCCACGCCTAGATGAAATTATAAAAAAGTACTACATGATGCAACTATTACATATTTGCACTAATATATTGACTAGCTGAATGATATACACATGAATCCCTGTCTTTGATTTGCCCCCTCTTAAGCTAGTGCTTTGGTTAAGCCTTTGAAGACGAGTGGCTTGAACGAGTCATTAGTATCTAGGTTGCAGGGCAAGTTTATTATGGTAAGTCCCCTAAGAACATGGGATGAGTTACTCAGAATGAACTTCGGGTCTTGAGAGTGATAGAAAACACTTGTAGATCTCAAGTATTTCCTATCAATATTCGGAAAACAGCGAGAATCCTTCACAAAAGGCCACACAAAATCACAAAAACAGTAGATAATTTGTATTTTTTTATGAAAGGAACACGAAAAATAGCAAGATACAATTGATCCTCTATTCGAGAGGAGGATCGTTCTCTCCCAAATCTCTAGATGCTGCTAGAGCCCAAAGAAAACCTAAATCTAAGAGATCTTAAATTTCAGCCAAAATTCAAGATGCCCTAACCCTAGGAAAACAAAGTATTTAATGCATACAAATAAAAAAGAAATCCCTAAACAGTCCCTACATTCAAATTTCCCTCTCAAATCCCAAAAAAATCCTTCCTAAAATGGTCCGCTTGGGAGGTCGGGACGCCCAATCTCCGCAGGAGGCGGAGATCTCGTGAAATGCCGGTCCCGTGCGGACCAGCTGGACCGGTCCAGTGGACCGGTCTATCAATACTCCCCTCCCAAATATCCACTTTATCCTCAAGGTGGAAATATGCTCATGTTCCCGTGGAGGTGGCCATCCTTGAGGTGACTGACAAACCTTACTGAATTGCTGAATCAAGGGCTGAACTGAAAGAGAAACATCCCATCCCTTCATCCTGATCACATCCAACTTATGTAGTCCCACTAGAAAATCTTCCCCCTTCTCTTGTAGGCCCCTAACCATAGTCTTAAGTGATACCATGACTTTGGATAGCCCTGCATCTCCACTTATAACCACCTTTCTCCCATCCACCATTAATTCCATCATGAGTGCTCCCCAATTGTCCTTGGTTTCCCCTAAGATTTGCAACCACTTCATCCTCAGAATGGCATCAATGCTTCCTAACTCTAGTGGGAGAAAGTCCTCCTTTACTTGAATCCCCTGGATGGTCAACACCAGTCCTTTACAGATTCATTGGCCTTTTTCCACCTTCCCTGTACCCATCTTCACTCCATAACAATCGGTGTCCTCCAATTTCACTCTCAATTGGTCGACGACCTGAGTGGAAATGAAATTGTGGGTAGCCCCACTATCAATTAGCACCACCACTTCCCTGCCCTCTATCTCCCCCTTTACCTTCATGGTATGATTCGTAGTGAATCCTACCACTGAGTTCAGGAAAACCTCAGCCAAATCCAAGTGTAGCTTCTCCTCCATCTCCTCCTCTTTCTCCTCCTCACCTCTCTCCTTAGTTTCCTCGTCATCGCAGACGGTGAGAACCTGAAGAGTTCGGTCCTTGCACCGATGTCCTGGAGTATACTTCTCCTCGCACCTGAAACACAACCCCTTTACCCTCCTCTCCTGCATCTCCTTCTCTGTCAGTCTCTTGAAATTTTGCTCTTCCTTCTCCTACTGGCTTCTCCCTGTTGGTCTCATTAATGTTGTCTAATGCAGACCCCTTGGGTATTAGAAGAGTGGTCATCGTCCTGTAAGAGCCTCCTGAGCTGCAGTTCCTGGCCTCCTTTTCCAGATTCTTTTGATTTTCCACCAGCTGTACCAACTTCATGGCCTCCCCCAAGTCACTAGGCATCAAAACTTTCACTGCTGCTCGGATCTCTGCCTTCAACCCCTTTATGAAGTTCCCCTCCAATACCATATCTGATAATCGCTGCACCCTAGTAGCTAGGTGCTTAAACTGCTCTCGATAGTCTGCTATTGATCCCTCCTGTGCCAGAGCAAAGAACTGTTCATAGAAATCTCCTCCCTAGTCGGTTTGGAAACGTTCTATTATGCAGTCCTTGAATTCCCTCCAGTTCCTGATAGGTCTTCTCTGGTCTCTCCACTGGTACCATGACAGTGCCTTCCCCTCCAAGCATAGGTTTGCTGCTATCAGTTTCTCCTCCTCTGTTAGCCCATTAACGGCAAAGTACCTCTCCACCTTATAGATCCACGCATACGCATCCTCCCCCTCAAAGATAGGCATCTTCAACTTCTTCACCTTATGATCTCCACCATTCCCCCTTATTCCTCCATAGCTTCCCCTCTCCCAAGTGCTCGGACCACCCCACGTCTCCCGGTCTTCCCTTGCCCTACCATAACCCAAACACCCTTCGAATTCCCCTCTTCTTCATTCAATCTCAGCACCTCGGCGACCATGTCCCTCCCGGCGCTCCCAATCAGCACCCCTTTGCTCCATCCCTCCATACTCATGCCTTTCCCCATGTCGATCTCCTCTTTCCTCCCTATGGAAAGGCTCCACATAGAGTCTTCTTCTTCCCCCTTCCACGATTTCCACCTCTTCTTCCTCACGAATTTCAGAATTGGTGTTCTTCGCTTCTGAGCCCTTCGCTTCGGACGCCGCCGTTTGTGCTTGAAACTCCAACATTCTTTTCATCATATCCCTGAGATCGGCCACCTGCCCCTCCATGGAAGAAATTCTTTCCTCCATGGTTTCTTTGATGTGATTAATCTCTCCTTCGAGTCTCTCCTCCAAAGCATCACCTTTCTTGGCCGCCATTACAATCCGGAGTTTGTAGATTCACAAAATCTTGATTTTGGAGTAAAAAATACAGCAACTTCATCCTTTTCCGGATCAAAAACTGCGGCTGGAATTTGCCGAAAACAGCCCTCCACCAGTCCCAAGACTTGCTCTGATACCAATTTGATAGGAAACAACTTGTAGATCTCAAGTATTTCCTATCAATATTTGGAAAACAGCGAGAATCCTTCGCAAAAGTCCACACAAAAGCACAAAAACAGTAGATAATTTGTATTTTTTTGATGAAAGGAACACGGAAAATAGCAAGATACAATTGATCCTCTATTCGAGAGGAGGATCGTTCTCTACGAAATCTCTAGATGCCGCTAGAGCCCAAAGAAAACCTAAATCTAAGAGATCTCAAATTTCAGCCAAAATTCAAGATGCCCTATCCCTAGGAAAACAAAGTATTTAATGCATACAAATCAAAAGGAAATCCCTAAACAGTCCCTACATTCAAATTTGCCTCTCAAATCCCTCAAACATCCTTCCTAAAATGGTCCGCTTGGGCGATCAGGACGCATGATCTCCGCAGGAGGCGGAGATCTCGCAAAATGCTGGTCCCGTGCGGACCGGCTGGACCGGTCTAACAGAGAGCAAGAGGCAAGTCCCTTAAATGATGATTGTTGCAAGATAGGGATGGGTTTAATCAGCAAAGTTGTAGTCATAGGCTTCAGAGATGGGCACTTCCTATAGCTTGAGCTAGGATGTTTATCATAAACGAATGACTTTGGTCACTAACAACAACTACTACTGTAAGTGGGTTCAATTGTGGCGAGTGGTCCTCAGGGCTTTTACAGGTCTGGAGGAATCATTTGGAGGTGCTTGCTGAGAATGATTGCATTCCTGATCAATTATCTAGGTTGAGTTTACACGTTACGATCCCTATTTGTGAGAGGGATTTGTTTGATCATGGGCTAGTGTTAGCCAGTGCTTTGCGAGGTCGCTTTCCCTTCGGGTGAGTTTTACTTTAGCCATGTGACCCCCTTGATTGATTTCCTTGATGAGAACCTGCTAGATACATGTGATTTACCTACATGGTCATATATGAGTATATATTTAGTTTCACGATTAACTTGCTCTTTTGAAAAGATAAGTTGCAAAAAATAATGAGTGTAAGATTGTGCATTTATTGTCTTTACCGAACAGTTTAAAGAGATAATGAATAAGAGTTACTATCCTATCACTACTTTTCCTCGAGCATTAAGCCCACGTTGGAGATTCTTCATTATAACTTTGATTTGATGTGCCGGAGCATGTGCTACTAACGCACTCGTGATGTCTAATCTAATTCCTTCAAAACTTGCTGATGCTAGCGATGAGAAATTAAAGAAGGCATTTCTCTACAAGAGCAACTTTGTGGGGGTGAGAAGAAGTCCACTTGTTAGTGAGCAAGAAGAAGGCTATGGCTATTGAGGCAAGCTTGCTTATTAGCCCAAAGTTGAACAAGCGGTAGCATTTGTGCCAAGGGAGACTGAAAAAGTTGAATCGAGCAAGGTAATGGTGCAAGAGGAGAGCTTTGAATTGGTGATCCTTTCATCAAGGTCTGATGACTTGCCCCTCATAAGGCATGGGAGATGAGTCTCAACATTGCGGGTATGCAATGCGCCTATGACGATCTTGATGAGGTGACTTCGGCCGTGGGTGTATTATGCTAATTCGCCTTTTGGTTGAGCACACAGGCAGCCATGACTTGGTTTAGGTAGAGGTCAAGAAACTGCTAGCAACTAGTGAAGGTAAGAGAAGTTATATTCTAATTTTTTAGCTCAATCATGTTTAGAAGTTTAGTATTACCAACCTTGAGCAAGCCAAGAGTCCATCTAACCTCAAGCAAGTTCTTAGGACACCTTTCAAATGAGTTTGAGGTGTCGGCGTTGATTCGATGGGCGCTGCTTGTAGACCATGACCATAGACTTGCATGATAAGCTACTAGAGGTTCCTTGTCTATTTTTGACAAAAAAATTCTCTTCCTGATCCTTCCCTCTATAGCATAGGTGTGACTCCACTAAGGGTAAGCACTGCGTGCCACTCTTTGCAAAATCCAAACTTGAGACTAAAATTACTGAAGTCTGAAATGAAGATCATACTAAGGAGCCAATTCTCTCATCCTCGGCTAAAGAGTTTCCCACAGCCTTGCCTACAACATCCATGAGGACTCTGAACATCTCTCTCTTAACTGGTAACCTAGTTGCAAAAGTTTCCACCCATGCTTACATTAGGTGTCCTCACAAAGCCAGCCAACTTGGTGGAGAAGATGCTTGGCAACACTCACATTGAGCCAGAGAGAAGACCCGACGAAGTTTCCCTATTATGCAGGGAGGTGTCAAAGGTAAGGGCATATGCGTTTTAGGCCCATCATCTCCTTTAGTTTATGTGGTTGAGGTACTTCGAAGCTGTGCTAGTTGGGTGTGGGGGACTTTATCCAGCAACAATTAGCATAGGGAGTTGTTGTGCCTCCCAAGCTATTGTTCGATCCCTTATATAGGATATTTCTTGTGGATAAGTAGACTTGCCCTGTTATGAAAAAATATGCAATGTATTAATTGTTCGAACTAATAAAAAAGTTTTTATGTGATTTTATACTCTTTTGGTGGGATGTTTGTTTTCATTGTCTACTTTGTTTTCATGTTTATTTGCTTGTTATGATTATGCAATTCTCTGCGTATGACGAATGATTTACTTCTTTTTTTTTTATCTTTTTTGTTGAAGGCGAGTTAGTGCCTTAACTTTAAGAGCGACTCTTGATCAAGCGAGTCAATGATTACTCTATTTAGAGTGAGGTTGATAAGTACTCTCCTCTTTAGAGAACGAGTTTAAGTCGAGCGACAGTGAGGAGTTAGAGAGCTTAGAGTCCAAAACCACATGTCTCGATGGTAGAGAGTGAGTTGTTTGACCCCTTTAGGATTGTGTTTGACATGTGGAAGGTAGTATTCCTGGCTTCCAGGGAGAAGAATTTAAAGGTAGTTTCCCAAAGGCTAGCTAGCCTTTGCCTTGGTGAACTCATTGGTCGCCAAATTAAATACTACATTTGCTATGGCTTAAGAGTCATTGGCAGGTGATGAGGAAACTCGCCAATATGTGAGCGCAGTGTAGGAAAGTTAAATTCATTCTTTCTGACAAGTTTGCCAAGTGGTAGGTGGCTAAGAAGGTGAGTCCTTAAATGTTGAGTTGGAGAATGGGAGGAGACCCACCAAAAGAATTTGGCAAAGAAGAATGCTTCTTTAAAGGAGGTTGACATGTTGGCGAGGAAGCAATTAGATAAAGAAGTCACTAAATAAGCAGCTAAATTCAAAGTAACTAAAGGTAATTGTGTTTCCTTCTTCGACTACCCCAGTATTATGAAATCCTTAGCAAAGAAGTATATTGTTGGGATCGAGTATTGCTTAGATTATCTGTTCACCTCCATGGAGCTGCATACAAGTTCAAGGACATGGTCTTTTTCTATTAGGTGAAGTTTGAATTCTTGCAGGAGAGAGATGGGACAAGTGTGACTAATGATAGAGATCGCCTCATATTGTATTTTCCTCTCTTTTTTTTTATTTTCTTTTTTCCTGTAAAGCATAATGTAATTGAAATTTTGAAGAATGAATGAAATATAATGTTTGTTTACTCGTTTTTTTATTCTATTATTGTGACTGCCCATATAGAGTTGATCTACTATATTTTTCTTAAAGTTTTTGACTTGTCTATTTTGTGTGAATGTTTAAGGTAGATAATGATCACAAATAACTCGATTATTGATGGTAATGAATTCCTACGTAGTTAACTCAGCTAAAATTATATAAAAAATGTGATAATAGCTTGACTTCTTCAAAAATGACATGTTAGTACTTGTCATAATCAGTTGAATTGGAAGTAGTGTAATTAAAGTAATGAGATATGCTCAAACGAGACCAAGTATTTGACTTAACAAAATTGGACTCGTCAAACTTGATGTTGGTAGGTTCTATTTAATTAGCGTGACCGTGTAGAAGTTACATAATGAATATAGGCATACTCACATCGAGAGTACTTGTTAATAATACTCTGAGTTGGCTAATTCATATAGAATTAGTCATGTATAGAATTAAAACATAGTGTGATATATTACATTGACAAAGGAATATTAGAACAATTAAGAGTGTTAGAATGAAACTCTTGCATGCCTAGACATATAATGTTTAGTATTATAGTTTTTATGGAGATAAAATAATTTTAGGAAGGCCATAAATATTTCTTTACATTCTCTCATCTTGAGAAGTTACTGAAGCAACAGACTCAATGCTCCTTGGAAAGACGGACACTTTATGATGTGCAGAAAGTAGTACACACCAGGAGATTAAATGTAGATAAGTGACGTTTCAATTTAAATACCATGAATAATATTTACACAGAATAACTTTCCATTGCGTGTACTCTGACAAAATTTTTGATGCTATTTGGGAGGTCAAATTTTCTTTGAAATTTACATGTTTATGATAAAAAAGAACATGTTGATGTGAGGACTAAAATTTCTAAAATACTTGCTTAAATTTTAGACTATTAAAGTGTATTCAATGATTGAAAAACCACCAATTAATTAAGTTTTTTTATTTATTTTTTAAATTCTGTGAAGATTTGTTTTGGAAAAATGATTAAAATGATCCCAAAAAGTTTTAAATAGTTTTTTTATTTATGTGCAAAGTAGGAAGAATTTTCACAAGAAAGTTTTAAAACTTCACCAGCCATAGCTTGAGATTGGATGCCAACAAACATATGTCACTGCCATTGCACGACATCAATTGTTGAGTCATATTGACTCTCATCGATGTCATTACATGACATCATTTGTTGATTAACATTACGGATAGCCCTGATCATCATTTGACACCATCCATTGATTAATATAAATACTTACTATTGACACTATCCAATATCGTCTGTTATCCAAATTGATGCCCATTAGAACTTGATTTTCGAAGTTTCATGCTGATCGGCATTTGATGTTACCGAATATTGAAAAACAATATTCATCATCCTTTAATATTTTCACACAATCGTATGCATATCAACATTCATCATTAATTGTCATTTGCTGCATAACAAATAGTTCCATCGAACATTCATTAGATTGATGTTTTGCATTCGCTCGTTGAGTCAATAAAATGCACTATCTTTTGTATTATTGATGTGTAATTAAAATCTAAGCAATAATATGATAATTTTAAAGATGAATAGCTTGTAATGTCATTGGTTAGATTTAATAGTTTGATTATAGTTAATGAAAAGTAGATTTAATGAGTCATATAAAATATAAAATACTCATTCAATCACAATTTCATTCATTGAGCATAAGTTACGAAAATCATAAATAAACTACACAACATTAAAATAAAGATTAAGAGAAAAAGTGGTGCAAATTCTTATTATTACTAGTATGATACTAATGCTTAATTTGATGCCTTTAGCCCTTTAACCCAAGGTTTTATTACGTTCTTCTTCGATGACCACCAAATGAGAAAAACTTCTATCCTTTATGGGTAATGAATGAACCCTTCACTCTTCTTTTTCAAGTGAAAATTGATATTCTACCCATTAGCTTGTGAACAATCACACCAAAGATAGCTTTGAGATCTTGGGTCCCTTATAGTTTTTAATACAACAAGCTCTCAATAAATCACATAACACAATTAGGGAATTAATGTGAAAGATAAGATGAATGAATCATACAAGTGCACTCTCATAGATGTGATTCTTTTTAGGGTTTTCAAATTAAAAGCAAAGAAATTTTCCCCAAAACAACTTCCTCTTTCTTTCTATTAGTTTTTTTACGCTATCCCATATTTAATGATTTTTATATTAATGGATTGATGACGCCTCCAATTAGTTTTTCTATCTTGTTTTGTAAGGGCATGCGTTTTCTCTGTATATATTGGTGCCCAATGCATAGCTCTAGATTTTCTTTTGTCAGACTTCACACTAAAATCACTATTGTTACACATGGAATGAGTTTCCATTTCCTATCCTCTGGCAAACTTTTTGATGCTATTTGGGAGGTCAAATTTTCTTTGAAATTTACATGTTTATGATAAAAAAGAATATCTTTATGTGAGGACTAAAAAAAATTCTAAAATACTTAATTTTAAGATTATTAAAGTGTATTTAATGATTGACAAATCACCAATTTTTTAATTTTAATTTTGTATTAATATATATTACCTTTTTAAGCCTTTAAATACTACTCGGTGAGGTAAAGAGCACGCATGAAGAAAGAATATTTTTTTTCTTGTGGACTTGTACATGTTATTGAGTTTCCATGGGAATTATTTGTGAAAATAATGGCTTCTTGTTGCCAGGATGTGATTGCACTGCTGGCCTATGAAGATCCTTCAAAATCTTGCGTTGGGCATCTCCTTCATTCAGGGCAGCGAGAGTTCGTCGCGGATGCTGTAAATGCTATGGTTTTAGCCACAAGCCCTGGCTCAAAAAGAACCGAAGACTGGGCATTCTCTCGCCTTGAGAAGTTACTGAAGCAACTCACTCAGTGCTCCTTGGAAAGACGGGCACTTTATGGTGAACAAGGAGAGGTTTTTGATGTGCACAAAGTAGTGCACACCAGGAGATCAATTGTATAGATAGATTATGTGTAGATTTATATACCATGAATAATATTTACACATGGAATGAGTTTCCATTGTCTGTACTCTTGCGAAGTTTTTGATGATATTTGGGAGGTAATTTTCTTTGAAATTTATATGTTTATGATAAAAAAGAATATCTTGATCTTGATGTGAGGACTAAAAATTCTAAAATACTTAATTTTAAGATTATTATAGTGTATTTAATGATTGAAAATCACCAATTAATTATATATATATTTTTAATTTTGCATAGATTTGTTTTGGAAAAAGATTAAAATGATCATAAAAAGTTATTACACATTTTACGTATATACAACTTTATTTCATGTTATTTAAATATCTAACATCTAAAATATTAATATTATATGTATATGGCTCATATACAACTTTAATATCAAATATGCTAATAGTATATTGCATTTATATCACTCATGCAATCCTATAAATGTTAATATTTCATTTAATGTACTCATATTTATTCTATGGGTGGTAGGTATGTAATATTAATATTTTGAATGTTAGATATGTAAATAGCATGAGATAAAGTTGTATATATGTAAATTTGTTGACCTCTAATTGTGAGAGAACCAGACACCTCTGTTCGGACCAAACCATTAACCATGTGGATCTAACAAAAACTACCCCACGACCACCCACGATTGCAAATAACGGCTCTCTCATGAAACAAAAAGGATCCCTCCTCTCATGCGGTTCTCTCTCATGCACACATAAATGCTCCGAGAACAATAAGAAATCACATAGAAGAGAAAGGAAGTTTTTTGAACTTATCTCTCGATCTCTTGTTTGTAAGAAGCCTACTGACTTCTGCCTCCACCTCTGCTCGATGCCTGTTTCTTCGTTATCAACTCGTTGGCTCGACTCACAGCAGATATCTGCCTTGCCCTAGATCTGACGACCGAATCGAGGCTGCCGACGGTCGAGCCACACCAACTCCAATTGACTTTCGTCAACCAAGGACGCACCGTTGACGAAGCCTGCACGCTCGACCTGATGACCGCGACCTCCTTGCATTTATATTATATTATGTTATATATTATAATATAAAGTAATATATATTATAATATAATTATAATATATGTATGTATGTATATATATATATATTATATTATTTAGAGATAGAGAGAGAGAGAGAGAGAGAGAGAGAGAGAGAGAGAGAGATGGAGAGAAATAATTTGCAAGCAGGTGGGAGCAATTTGAAGTAACTCCCAGGGTTAATCCGGTCTCCTGAAGCCCTCGGTCGTCGAGATTATCCGACCGAGGGAGCACAGACACTATGCTTCCATTCTCCTCGCCGTTGATTTGCTCAAGCTGAGTCTAGCCAAAGGGCAAATGCCCTCTTTTGGACGCCAGGAGGTTGTCGAAATTTACTCGAATGTTTTAGACTTAGCCAAAATTTTGCAATATTCAATCAAGCGCCGATAACCAATCATCATCAATTGGAGCTTTTGAAGACTTAAATCTTATCGTCATTGATTCGCTCCGGCCGAGTCGAGCCACTCTTTTCCTCCCGAAGTCGAGGAGGGGACGCTGGAAGGCTGCCAGATTTTTCTCAAAAATCCAGGACTTAGCCATTTGAAAGATTAGAGAAATATATAATTAAAACTTATTTAAATTGCTTAAATCAACATGTTGGGCACATTAGAATACTTGAAAACCTTTATGGGGATTGATTCGCTCTCCCAATCTCCTCGTCGTCGATTTATTCTGGCCGAGTCGAGCCACTTCTTACTTCCAGGCATTATGGAGGGGACGTCGGGATGCTGCCGAAATTTTTAGTGAAACAATAATGGGCTTGGACAAAAAATTGAAAATTGATTTGAACAATAAGTCAAACATAAAATCAATTTCAAATTCGATCAAATAATATTGGACTTGGACTCAAACTCGAACCAGACTTACACTCAACATGACTATAAGAACTTGAACTTTAATGAGTCACTTGGAATTGAACCTAAACTATAATATAAGAAATTGAAATTTAAATTAATAAACATACAATCAAGTTAGAAATACAATTGTTAAGTGATAAATCCAAGTCCTTCAAATAAACATCTAGCAATACAAAAAGGGGACCCTCACATGATCAAATTTCTATTTTAAGTGATTTAAAATAAATACAATAATAATAAACAATAATCACTTGGAAATTAATGATGAATGCAGCTTCTGAGGACACTGCAAGAAATGGTGGTGGATATGCTCTAGTGTAATAGATCCCTTATAAGTGAAGAGAATCAATGTGCCACAAGCATAACAGTTTGATGCATTTAATGAGTTCGAAGTGAATGAGGTTTATGCATAATCAATTCTATGCAAGTCCAAACAAGTTTGTTAATTTGATTGCAAACAACAATACTTTATATAACAAACTTACAAGTATATGTGAAAGCCCCTACGAGTTGGTGTAGAAGTCTCCTGAATTATACAACAGTCCCTTATCGATAAAAGAACTTGACATGCAACGAATGTAATAAGTTGCAATGCACACGACACAACGTATAATGGAGACCTACCATACACACAAAATATCATGTACGAATAAGATGTTAAATAACTACAACGATCGTAAAAGCCTATGAGCTATTGAAGGAGGCTCATTCTATGTTCAACATGTTGTAGGTGGAAAAATGTAAAAGGACTACAACTCATTTGTAAGAAGCAGAAAATTATATTTTTTAACGCCACCGGATCCGCAACATGTGTACAAGCGGACAAAAGACGTTCGTAGGCTCTTAAGTGGAGTCTCGGGCATTTCCTAAATAAAATCACTCTCACAAATGGATCATATTTAAATATTTTAAAATACCTCTTATGTATTAAATATGATCCCCTAAACTCAAATGCTACCCCCTACATGTGCCCCGGTCAACATGTTAAAAGCATAAACACCAATGTCCGAGAATGTTGCGCAAGGTCAAATGTTATAACCCGCATGTGCTCCAATCATCACATTTAAGTTCCAAATCCAATGATTCGAGAATGATGCGCGGGTCTAAATTCAAGTTTCATCCTCATCCACGAAAGGACTGGAGTCGATATGACTTGAAGTATAAAATGACTCCCAAAAATCCTATAAAAATATAAGTGACCTTAACGTCACCCCGATGATGGCCGCATTGATAGAAAATTTCAACCGGAGGGGTCAAATCTAAAATCCAATAAAAGTCTAAATATCTAAAATGAAATATATCACCTTAAAACTGAAACTAAAAATCATCCACCTTCCGCAACCGTTTGTCGAGGGTGATAAATTTGAAATTAACTTCAGCTCACAAAGAGCGAATACATGTCAGATGTATCACTACGATTCATCTTCAAATAATCTCTTGCCAATAGGTACATGACACGTGCTCTCTGATCAGGTGGTTTTGTCGCAAAATTACACCATTATATTACGATCACGGCCAAAGCCTGTATGTTCCCTAAAGGCGTCAAACCCTTGAGCGATGGATCATAGGTTTTATTCGATAGGCATAAAGCCCTCTATCAGCTAAGGTGGATTCACGTTTATCCCCGTAAATAAATACCAACCCAGGTCTACAAGGTATTCTTGGACGAAGCAACTCATGGCTGCTGATAAGGTGCCTCCTGTCAGGTTGGGCCGACTGCCTCTTCTGACTAAGTAGACTAGGGAACATGACAGCCTAGGACGACAGAACCATGGGATCTTAATCGGGGTCATCTTCATTCACCCCACCACCAATTTTAAGTTTATGGTGACAAACTCTAAATTTCAAACATCAAAATCTAAATCATAAGATCAAATTCAAAACCCTAAAACTATTGCTATTATACGATTGGTTCATAACCTATGTGACATCCTTAACGACTAACCTTTATCGAAAGTTCTCTCCTGTTATTGGGAGGGGTACTTATTTATAGGGGCTTGCGCCTATAGGAAACCAGAACTCAGATAAAAAAATCCTCACAAAATGAGGACAAAATCTCTAGGTAGTGTCTTATCTAAAACCTAATATGCCTTCTAAAAATTCCCCCAAAACCTAATCTCGTTAAAATTCTCTGTTGCTCAAATAAAAAAAATAAATAGACGGATGGCGCAGAGAGGCCGGGGCTTACAAAATAAATGAAATTTTCGTAGCCCACAAAATTCACTACATACATAAATACATTATAAATGTGCAAAGAAAGAAGAATTTTCACTATAAAATTTTAAAACTCCACTAGCCATTGTTGATATTGGGTTTTAACAAACATGTCATTGCCATTGTGCGGCATCAATTTTTGACTCATTGAATCTCATCGATGTCATTACATTACATGGCATCATTTGTTGATTAACATTATAGGTAGCCATCATCATCATTTGACACCATCCATTGATTAATATCAACACTTACTATTGACACTACCCATTATCGTCTGTTAACCAAATTGATGCCCATTAGAACTTGATTTTCGAAGTTTCATGTTGATTGGCATTTGATGTTACTTAATAATGATGTACAATATTCATCATGTTTTAATATTTTCACACAATCATTTACATATTAACATTCATTATTAATTGTCATTTGCTGCCTAACAAAAGTGCAATCAAACATTCATTAGATTGATATTTTGCATTTGCTCGTTGAGTCTATAAAATACACTATCTTTTTCATTATTAAAACAAATAATATGATAATTTTAAGGATGAATAGCTTGTAATGTCATTGATTAGATTTAATAGTATGATTATAGTTAATTGAAATTAGATTTGATGTCTCATATAAAATATAAAATACTCATTCAATCACAATTTCATTAATTGAGCATGTTATGACAATCATAAATAAATAAGAAACAAAACATTAAAATAAAGATTAATAGAAAAAGTGGGTGCAAATTATTATTATTATTATTATTATTATTATTATTAGTATGATACTAATTCTTATGTTGATGCCTTCAGCCCTTTAACCCAAGGTTTTATTACTTTCTTATTATGTCACCACCAAATGAAAAAACTTCTATCCTTTATGGGTAATGAATGAATCCTACACTCTTCTTTGTCAAGTGAGTAGATTGATATTCTACCCATTAGCTAGTGAACAATCACACCAAAGCTAGCTTTGAGATCTTGGGTCTC